GGGTGGGGGGTGGGGGGGTGGGTGATGTATGAAGGGACACCGGCGGTTTCCCTCATCTCCTACAGTCTTAGCATCGATCCAAAATGTCATTTTTTACATGCTCCTTAAGAACTCCAAGACTCAGGTGGTTTTGTGTTACTTATATATGCATAATTTATTTCAAATGCGGCTGGTCCTATCTATCAAGAGGTGATTCGTGAAGGTTCACATGTGTGAATCATCACCATCTTGGAAAGTATCAGGGCAAAAGCTAAAACGCTCCCTTAACATTTTCTTTAAACTACTCGGTGTCCATCATCTGCACATCCTTTCAGTTTTTCAGAAAGACGGAGGATGACTGAAAGCTCTCCCACAACACTACACATGGATCCTTTCTCTCTGAGGAGTCTTCTTACATGTCTTTACAGACCTCAGGGAAACGGAGTGTCTCTCATTCCTGACATAAAACCAGGCTTCTTATATAAAACAATGAGGCAGGATGAAGGAATATAGGTTTCCTCCTATTCCTTAAATTCCTTACAGGGCTGATCCACAGTGAAGTCAGTGCTCCTTGAAGTGAGATGAGCTGGCAAAGGCCTTCCCATCTTGCTTTACACACAAGGCCTCTGTGTCCAGTGAGCTATTTTGTGTTGCGTGAGGTGTGAGGACTGGCGGAACGCTTTCCCACACTCCTCGCATCTATAAGGCTTCTCTCTGGTGTGTGTTCTGCTGTGTTTGGTAAGGTACGAGGACCGACTAAAGGCTTTCCCGCAGTCTGCACACTCATAAGGCTGCTCTCTGTTGTGACTCCTCATATGATTAGTTAACGTTGAAAGATGCTTAAAGGTTTTCCCACATACTGTACATTCATAAGGCCTCTTTCCACTGTGTGTTCTTTTATGTTCAGTTAGTGTTGAGGAATAACTAAAGGCTTTCCCACATTCCTTACATTCATAAGGCTTCTCTCTGCTGTGAGTTCTTGTATGCTTAGTTAGTGCTGAGGGATGACTAAAGGTTTTTCCACATTCCATACACTCATAAGGCCTTTTCCCACTGTGCGTTCTCACATGTTCAGTTAGCGTTGAGGGATAGCTAAAGGCTTTTCCACAGTCCTTACATTCATAAGGCCTCTCTCCCCTGTGAATATTCATATGATATGTTAGTGTTGAGGGACGACTAAAGACTTTCCCACATTCTTTACATTCATAGATCCGCTCTTCACTGTGAATTCTTCTATGTCTATTTAGTGTGGAAGGGTGACTAAAGGCCTTTCCACATTCCTTACATACATAAGGCCTCTCTCCACTGTGGATATTTACATGGTTAGTTAGTGTTGCTGGTTGCCTAAAGGCTTTCCCACATTCTTTACATTCATAAGGCCTCGCTTCACTGTGTGTTATTTTATGTTCATTGAGGCATGAGAAACAACTGCAAGGTTTCCCATAATACATACAGTTACAGGGTTTCTCTCCAGCAAGTGCTTTTAAGTGAGGGTTTAAATAAGAGCAACTGCAGATTTCTCCACATTCCATGTACTGATAAGGTTTGTATCCACTGTAAGGGCTGAATGTGTTGTCGCCATCCTCACAAAATTCAAAAGAATTCACACCAACAGGGGTTCCTTCGAGTATATTAAAATTTGCAATCTGGCGGAAGAACTTTCCATTGTGCTCGTCTTCTTTCTGGTCCGCTCTAGGGGTGAAGATGCTCTCCGAGACGTCCTCTACCGCACATTTCCTGCTGAAAATAAGGAGTAGGTCGTTAGGATGTGCGTTTTTCACCATTTCAAATCGACCATACGCGACGACTATGCATCCTTCATGCTGTTGTTCCCACGTTGCATGGGCACAATCATCGAACAGTGTACCTTCCCCAAAGCCTTGCCAACTATGTCATAAATACTCAATAGCTGACTCACCTTTATAGAAATACTGTATTGTAAAGATTAGATGGACACATTTATTTATTTAGACACTGTTACACACACACACACGCACGCACACAGATGCATGCCATGGGTATGATACCTCGGAGGTCTTTCCTGGTGGTTGTAGTGATTTTTGCTGCCACAGATTTCTCCTAATACAGACGACCAGGAGTCGTTCCTCATGAATCGCATGATTATATGTTCGCTGGAACACTCTTGTCTACGATCATCCTGTGGAGAGACTGACAGAGACACAGAAATTTGTGAGGAGCAAAGCATCGGTGAGGAACAGACAAGGCAACTAGTTTTCCCAGGAGTTTGGCAAACCAGAGGGTCAGAAATTCCTTGAGAAATAATTACATGATCAATGAAGGAGAGTAAGTAAACTAGGGGATAAGGAGGCATGCAAAACAATGCGTGTATGTAAAGGGAGTGTTTTAAAACTTTTAATTGAGAATTAGATGACTCGCTCACACAGTAGATCACCTATCTTACAGTCAACAGCTTATCACACCTCCCAGAGTCTTGCCCTGGTTCCATCATTGTTCCCCACGGACACCAGAAGAACCAGCAAATCTGCCCTCATAGAAGTACAGCCAGACAGCTCCGTAGAGGCAAGGACGGGAGACCGTCGCACATACCATGGACAGGCGAGCCAGTCCCTGGAGAAAGGCGGTGGAAAGGAGGAAGCCCTGCTCCGAGGTCGACTGGCACAGTGGCTGCAACACTGGACTCACACATACGAACAATGGGGAGGACCGTGCAGGACCTGGTGGGGTGCTCCTCTTGTGGGTGGGGTCTCTGTGAGTCAGAGCCGCTCAATGGCACCTGACAGCAACAGCCACCCTCTGGATGCCTTCACCCAAGTTAACACTAGTCTACCCAATCGGTGTGTAAGAACACTAAAAGAAAACTAGAGGAAGTTTCCCCCCAGAAGTCAAGAGAGAACTAAGAAAAACAAAACTTTAAGAGTGTTCAGTTACGTGTGGAAGTTCAGCTCCTTGAAGTCAAATGGCTTCCCAAGCTGATTTCGTCTAATATAATTCTATCCAGCCAGGCCTGTGCCTTTAAAGGACACTTGCCTGCCTTTGTTCCCAACATAACGGCTCCATATAAATCCTCTCTACTAGGCTCAGATCGTCCCTTTGTTTGAAAGGGAGAAAAATGCATGTGGTTGACATGGTACTCAC